ATGAGTTGAAGAAGATGCTGGCTGAGAAGGAGGAGAAGAGAGCTATCTATGTATATATATGTTATGTGTGTTGCTGTTATGACCATAGCAGTGACTGGATGTTGCTGGGATATGTATGGACACCTACATGTTAGTTAGCTATATATGTCTGTCTTGGTAAGCAAATTTCAGCATACATCCACAAGGTACCATACACATTACAAGGAGTTGTGGGCTTAACATCCTAGACTAGATGACATGATGTTATATAGTACAATTTACATCTCTCATTCTATAATTCACATCCTTGATGACATGAACTTCTCTCATTAGCCAGAATACCTTCCTGAATTCCTGAAAGTAACATCACATTATAAGTAAGAGCAGGTGACAAATATATATCGTTAACTAAAAAATGAGATTGTACATTGTTCAAAAACTCACATGGGCATCTTTTTTACATACTTGCCATTTTCGGTGACTTTTTGCCATGGGAGCAACCTCTTTACGACCATCTCTTAGGTATGGAGTTAGCTCGCTCTCCAAAATCATAGGGAGGATGGAAGTATCCAAAGGAGGCACTTCATTGGATTGATTTAACTCTTCCTCGTCCACTGGATTTTCAAGTCCGACAACCCGCTTTTTCCTAGAGAGAACCACTTGTCGTTTCTTGTTTCTAGTGTCGCGCACATTGAAGACTTGGGAAACCTGACTTGCGACTATAAATGGCTCATCCCTATACCCAACTTGGTTGAGGTCAACCATAGTGAAGCCATACCTATCTTTCATGACACCCTGACTTCACTGAACCCATCGACACCAAAAAATGGGCACCTTGAAGCCTACATACAAGAGTTCCCATATCTCTTCAATCTGATCATAGTACGGTGCCTTTTGCATCTTGCTGTCAAATGCATCTACATGAACAACACTGTTCTGGTACCTGCTCTTCTTGTCTTGATCAATGGTGTAAAAGATATATCCATTTATGTCATAGCCTTGATAGGTTGTGACTATGAAGAAAGGCCCCTTTGCTAGCTTTCGAAGCCTTTCGTCTGTGCAAGAGGTTGAACTGGCAAGTCAATCTCTGAACCATATGTTGGACCCACTCATATGTGCCCTCGCTAACCAAGCTTTTCCCCGGTGCGGGTTTTGTTGCCTCAACATCTCCATATGCTCTTCGATGTAAGGTTCCACCTCTGTTGTGTGCTGCAACTCTAGAAAGTGGGCTTGTCCATAGGCATCTCTCTCTGGAGTAATGTGCTTCTCCCCAACACACCCTCTGCCCGCTAACCTTCCCTCATGGTGAGACTTGGAGATGCCAATTGGATTGGTGGGGTCCATGTAACCGAGGCACCAGTCAACCAACTCCTCAGTAGAATAGCACTACACCATGCTTCCCTCAGGATGGACCCGACTCTTCGCATACCTATTCAGAGTGCTCATAAATCTCTCATACAGATACATGTGGTGGAGGAACATCGGTCCAAGATACCTGATCTCCTTGACCAAATGTACAATGAGATGGACGGATATGTCAAAGAAAGTCAACGAGAAGTAAGCCTCAAGGAGACACATCACCTCAATCATGTTCTTTTCAAGATCTTCCAGTGATTGTTCATCAATGACCTTCTAAGAGATTGCATTAAAGAAGGAGCAGAGGCTCATGATTGCCATTTGGGTTTTTTCTAGTAATATGTTATGGATACCAACTGCAAGCATCGTTGTGAGCATGACATCACAATCATGAGCCTTCATGGGAAGCATCTTGTTTTCTCTTGTAGGCATAAGCTTTCAGATGTTGGCTGTAAATCCAGAGGGAAGTTTGACACTATGAATGAACTCACACAATTCCTGCTTCTCTTCTTGGGTTAGGTTTATGGCAGATAGAGGTGGCTAGGCACTGGTACTGTCAGGACGGAGCTCGAGCCTTATGTCCAATTCCTCTAGGTCAGCTCTTGCTTTTGCATGGTCCTTGGTTTTCCATTTGTCATTCATGAGTGTCCCAAGCAAACTCCCACATACATTCTTTTTCACGTGCATGAGATTGATGTTGTGGCGGACCGCTATGTCTTTCTAGTAAGGCAGTTCCCACAGGATTGACATTTTCTTCCACCTCTTCTTATCGGCACTCTTTGCTTTTGCACTGCGCTTTCGCTTTCCAAGGATAGTGCTCTCCGGGTCAACTTTAGGTGTGGTTTCCTCTACCACCTAGTCATATACCTGTTGCCCGTTAAAATGCCTTGGTGTAGATCCTGTCTCCCTAGTGCCATCAAACTGATGTTTCATGTCCTGGTATGGATGAGACTTAGGAAGGAAATGTTGGTGCCTTACATAGATCCTCTTCTTTGAGTTATTTAGCCAAACAGTCTCCGTGTCATCTAAGCAATGAAAGCAGTCTTTTTCTCCTTTGCTCTACCCAGACACGCTACGATGTCCTAGAATATCAATGATAGTGGTGAAGAGCATGGCATGTAGGTTGAAATGTTCTCTCCTGAACCCATCATACACCCTGATACCCTCTTCTTTCCAGAGTTCCTTGAAATCATCAATAAGCGACCTCAGATACATGTCAATGTTAACACCTAGTTGACATGGACTAGATATCAAAACTAACATCATCATGTACCTCCTCTTGTTACACAACCATGGGGGAAGGTTGTAGATAGTTAATAGCACGGGCTAGACACTATGTGAGCTACTCATGTTACCAAATGGGTTCATGCCATCCGTGCTGAGTGCAAACAGAAGATTCCTTGGCTCATCAGCAAAAGTTTGATTCTTGAAATCAATGACCCACTACTGAATACCATCTACTAGGTGCCGTAGGTAATCATCAACCGTCCGCCCATCTGAGTGCCAGCTCAATAGTCGTGCATCCTTGGAGGTTGCAAACAAACGTTTCAGGCAAGGAATTATAGGGAAGTACCAAGCAACCTTCCTAGGAACTCTACGACATGTCTCCTCACCGTCATCACCCTCGTCAGTTCTTTGCTTGTAACGAGAGGTCCCACACTTGGGGCATTCAGTGAGGGCTGCATTGTCACCACGAAACTGGATGCAATCTTTCTTGCAAGCATGAATTTTCTTGAACTTCAATCCCATCGGACAAACAATCTTCTTGGCCTCATATGTAGTCCTGGGTATTTGATTCCCCTCGGGAAACATATCTCTGAGCACTTCTAGCAATTCTCTGAAGCCCTTATCAGTCCAGTGATGTGCCACCTTCAGTTGGAGAAGCTTTAGTGAAGCGAACAACTTCATATACCTCTCATTAGAACTTGGATAGAGTGGTGTCTTCATAACTTCCAATAGCTGCTTTAGCTTCTTGAACTCCAAACCAGTGTACTCATCAAAGCCAAAGGCATCATGCACCATCTCCTCCAGATTCTCAACCGTAGGGTATGGGCGGGCAACAATCTTTGCTATATCATCATCACATAGTTCCTCATTGCCAAAGGGTGCTTCCTCATTGCCATCGGCACAAGTTTCGTGAAGTCCTTCCTCACCATCTCGCTCATTGACACCTTCTTCTCCATGTTTATTCCAACATCTATAGTCATCCATGAATCCTCAAAGAATTGGTGGGCATGGACTGACAACTGATTCGAGTACTGCTTCTCATTCTTATAGTCAACACATGGGCACAACATAGATGACTTATGTCCATTCCTCATGTCCGCCTCTACAACAGCTAGGAAATGTTTCAGTCCTTCCAAGTACTCATTACAAGTACGGTTCTAAAGATACATCCAGTGGCCTCGATCCTCCATAGTGTACAAAAGAAGCACACGCCAGAGAACAGGAGGTCAAAGAGCAAAGCACGCCGGGGACCAGGGAGGAGAGCTAAGGACGCCGGTGATCCCCTACATCTCGAGATGGCGAAGCACGGTCGGAGCATGCCTGATCGAGTACACTACAGATAGAAATGAGTTAGAGTCAGACTCGAGCTCGACTGCAACCATGGTAGTGCAGTGGACACAGAACGGTGGCGTGGCGGTGCTCCGATCGATACAACATGGTAGATGTTAGTCGAAGGGCTTAGGCAACATCAATAGCTCACTGCGATGATGATGCTCTACTTGGTTGAATCGGGGACGTGGCAGTGCTAGATGGCTAGGGGTGATGGCGCGTGCAGCGGTGCAAACTGGTGGCGAGGTCACCGTTCCAGCGTGACCTGCGCGTTAGAGATAAAAGAATGGAGTCGATGAGCATCACAGAGTTGCAGGAGAGCTAAAACAATAAACGGGATCACCAGAGGAGTGCTAGAATGAGCTAGACACGGCGAGCTGCCCATGGCAGCCATGGTGGCACGGCCGCGGTGACAACTAACGCCGAGGGTGATTGCGGCGGCGAGAGGTGGATACAGTGGTTCGAGGAGCACGGCAAGAACTAGGCGGAGCTGGGAGCACGGGAAATTTGGAGAAGATGGAACAACGATGATGAATTTCACCATCGAGCAGTGCGGCGGTGCTTAGGGAGAGAAGAGGGAAAGAGAGGAGTGTCGACGGTTACCTATAGTTCGAGAAGGCCCTACGGCTGCCCACCGTCGCCCGCTGCAGCCGCGTGCGCCTCGACTTGCCGCTCGCCACAACAGCGCGCCACTCTAGTCGCCGGGCGGATGCGCGCCGCGCCTCCACCCGTGGGAGTGCCACGCAACTCCGGCCGCCACCCACGCACCTCAAAGTAGCAAGCCTACGCCATGCGCGAGAACAGTCGGCGCCGCCCGCATGAGAGGCACGCGACAACGGCCACTGCCCTCTGTGTTCCATACGCGCCAAGTACACAGGCCACTTCCTCTGGTCATTAGCACGTGCCAACGGCTAAGTACATAGGCAAAGTACTACAGACTCACGTTATTAACACACGTCTGTAGCAAGGTTGGACCAAATTAAATATATATCCACCTCCGTCTCCCTCTGTCTCTGCCTCTCTCTGTCTGCCTCAGTTCTTCTCGCTGCCTTCCTCCTCCGCCGCCGCCACCACGAAGCTCTCTGTCCCTTCTCCCAGCTCGAGATGCGATGTCTCATTTCATAGAGTCATCTAGAGGTGGACGGGCGAGGAGTAGGCTTCAAGGTGCCCGTGGCAACTGCATTGGCTCCGAGCACGGTGTCGTTCTAGATCCAGTTGGTGAGCTCAGTGGGTTCCCGCTGATACCTTGCGTGGATTGCAGTCTTGCTCGGGTGGTGGAGGGGCGGACCAAGAAGGATGGTGACAACCATGGTCGACTCTACTTCAAGTGTGCTAGGAATGGGGTGAGTTCTTTGTAGTGTTATCCCCCCCCCAATTTGCACAGTTAGGGTTCTAATTTGTGGTTGTTTTTCAGTTTCCTAAGCTTTGTGGTTACTATTGATTCGAAAAGGAGTACTTCCAGCAGTTGAAGGATCGTGGCATCATAATTGTTCACCCTTCAAATTGGGCAGAGCTGCTAGATGAAGAAGGTTCCATGGACAGTCCAAATATTGACACCAAGAAGAAAATCTTAGAGCAGAAGCTGGAGATTTTGAAGTGGAAGATGAACATGTTTATTGTGTGTGTTGTCTGTGTTGTCCTTGGATGTGTTCTAATGTATGCTGTAATAAAGTAATCCCTAATGCATTGATTGAATGAATGAAATGAATGGATGTATGGAATTTGGTGTTCAAATTTGTTATGTGTAGATGTTGAATGCAACTAAAATGTTGAGTGAACATAGTGACAATGCAACTCAAATTTGTCCAAATTTGCATTGAATGCAACTGAAATGATGAGTGAACATATAGCGACAATGCAAATGAAATTTGTCCAAATTTGCTCACTTGTGAATGTGAAGGCTAGAATGTTTTATTCCATAATTAATCTACAGACACATTTACGAGGTTTACCCCATTCACACCGCTATGATGTTCGCCATTCCCGCAGCCAAGCGGAAACTTCAAGAACAGTGCGCTCATAAAATCCCACCTCTCCCCGCTCCACCTCTCCACCTTCATTCAAGAAACTCACTTTTTGCATTGCTCCCTGGCGATCCATCTGTCCCCAGCGTGCTCAACTCGATCTCGATCTGCCTTCACGTCGCTCCCCCCACCGCGCCGTCTGATGGAGAAGCTTCCGATGGTGTTGGCTGCTGAGTTGTGAGCCATGTCGCCAAGGCCACAGTGGATCCCATGGAGGACCTCGGTAGCCTGCGGGCAACGTGCTCGTAGATGTGAAGGGCATATGGCACCGCCTACGTGGGACAGAGCATCCCACTGGAGCCAGTGCTGAACCGTGTAGCCTGGGAGCCCTATTACTCGCGTGAGTATCACGCGAACCTCATCACCATGCTCGCCAGTGTCGGCCACACGGAGGCCTGCTTCAAAGCAGGGATGTCTGTCGTCTTCAAGGAACACCGCGGCATCATCACGTCGTGGCTCAACATGCTGGAGTGCACCACCGAGTCAGGCCATGACCTGGCTACCTATGTTTTCTCTCTTGCGCTCTACAGGTCAAACAACGGTGCCGCCAATGATGCCACTACCTGACGATTGCTGCGGAAGTTGGAAGGTGATGAAGAGGGCCCGGCTGCAAAGAATGCGACGTGGAAGAACTAGACCTATGCACGGCGCCACCGAGCTATAAGGGTGGTGTTGCTGGATGACTTGGCCGTGCAACGAGGCCTGCTCTGCCTCTTTGGTGCCTCACTAGGACGAGCATCAGTGCTGAGATAGAGGCTACGGCAACATCGCCGGGGTTGACGAAGCATGGGAGACATGGGCCCTGTTCTGCAGTGAGGAGTGTAGGATCCGCCATGAGTGTCTTAGGTTCTTCGGTGAATGCAAGTGGGCATGAGTAGCTAGTGTTCATATGTATATATATCTGGATGTATGCATGGTCAAAACACTTTTGCTTTTGGTAATGGAACATGTTCGATCCTGCCTATATGTGATGAAAATCTGAGATGTTTTAGTTGTAATTCATGTTATATTGCTGTTTGTGATGTTCCAGTACACTACTCTATTGAGCCGCCTCTACAAATAGACGCCGAATTTTTCAAACGACCACGGATGGAGAAAGAACCAAAATAAAAGATGTACATCTCGAAAAGCCAAGAAACTTTGTAGTTGACAACTTTTTCATTTGAAATCATCTTGTCATGAAAAACTAAGTTTAAATTTCTAAAAATTTGAAATTTGAATTTTTTTAAATGACCTCGGATGGAGAAACTACCAAAATAAAAGTTGTAGATCTCGAAAAGTTATGAAACTTTGTAGTTGACAACTTTTAGTTTTGAAATCATCTAGTCAACCAACCCAAGCATTTATCCACAAAAGATTTCATGTTACAGACGCGTGTTGTAAAAACGCGTCTGTAGTAGTAAAATAAAATACCCCTACGAGGATCGATCCTAAGACCTTCAGGCCCACAACCCCGTGAGTAAATCATTGTGCTACATTCGTAAGTTCAAACAGGGAGCGGTGTTTGTTTTTTAAAATGTTTTCAATACATTAAAACAGGGTGGCGGTGGGGACATCCTGTCAGGCTCCTACTTCAAACCCGTGTTATTAACAATAGTCTGTAGTAAGCCAATTGAGTAACCCGCCACCGCCGTCCGACAACCAAGAGAGTAATGGCAGTTCAAAGCATTGGAACTGCCACTCCGGCATGGTGGCATTCACTCCGGCTTCTCGTCTCTCCACTCCTCTCGCCTTCCCGACCACACGTGCAGCCCTCGCATTGACTCCGCCCTCTCGTCTCTCCACTCCTCTCTCGCCTTCCCCACCGCGCGCGCAGCCGCCTCCACTCCTCTCGCCTCCCTAGCCCATCGCCGCATCCGTACCCATAGCCGCCGCCGTTGAAGATGACGAGGCCAGAGAGGCAGCACAACCTGAGGGATGAGAAGACGGGGAGGTTTGCCCGCCGTTCCTCATCCTCGGCACTAGGGTTCGAGAAGACACCGGCCTTGAAGAAGAAGGCCATCCTGGCCACCCCATCGGGGTTGAAGAAGAAGGCCGCCGTCATCACTAGGAAGGAGAAGCACCTGGTGGCGTTAATGAAGGAGAAGTAGCTAGCGGCGGTGAAGAAGAATGCCAGGCTAGACATGCCCTCTTCCTTAGCCGTGGCCTCGAGGGCAGTGGGCAAGAAGCCGGTGGTGGTGCTCGTGGTGGACTTAGATAGCGGGGAGGAAGGAGAACCCATGGAGGCGAGGAGGAAGGAGAGGAAGGCCACGCAAGCGGTGGCGGCGGCGCTTTCTTCCTCGGCCATGGCACCGAGGGCAGCGGCCACCAAGATGTGCGACCACTACTTGGAGGGAGGAGCCAGGACATGCCATTTATGGCTTTGCGGTGGCGTCAACTGCGGCGAAGTCGGCGGTTCAAGCTCCACCCATGGCCAGGTAATGCACGCTCTTTAGATTACAACTCCTTATATGTAGGTTTTCTTTCTTAATTTCATGACAGTTTTGTTGGTAGCCTCTGAATTGGATGAGTTTGTTGCTAAAATAATTTGGCTCATGCCATTCTCTCATCCTGGACCTAGATGGAGTAGAGAAAACAACTTAGTGTAGAATAAATGTAGATGCAACTCAAGTTTTTATACAAGCAATATAAACTGTCATATATTGTATTTTATAGTAGCATTGTGCTTTGAGTAGATTGCTTTATCTAGATGTTTATCATAGATCAATGATTTTAATTTTGTGAATAATTTTGATGGTGCCACTTCAATATTTCAGCATTGTGATTTGAGTAGATTGGGTTTCATCTCTTTGGGAGCAGCTCTAAGTCTTTATGTGCATTATTAGCAGCAGCTAGATGTTTTATTTTTCTAATTTGCAATGATTCTGGAGTTCACAAGGTCATGGACTTTGTAGCCTATAATTGATTATGTGAAACTTATATGATTCTGATATGTATGCTGGATAATGAAACTTATATGAATGCAAATGAAACTTATATGTAGTTTTTTTGTCACATTATCTAGATTTATGCTGGATTTTGATATATGTTCCTATAACTATTTCTGTGTTCATATAGGTTCGATCTTATTAGCTCCCTCTAAGTACCATGCACGAGGCACTGGACGCAGCTATGAAACCCATCATGAAGAGCATAGATGGTCTTCAACGGAGTGTTGACGAACTCAAGAAAGAGAAGGCTGAGAACAAAGAGAAGGAGAAGCATCTCAAGAAGAACCTGGACAACCTTGGTGACCAACTGGCGTCCATGGTTTAGAATGTGCATGACCTCTAGAGCAAGTTCCGCCGGTGAACAACTAATGATGATGTGATGATGTGTTAACTCTGTGCTGATGAAACTCTATGTGAATGTAAACTCTGTGTTAACTTTTGGTGATGATGTAATTGATGCAAACTCGATCTGTCACATATATACTTTGGCTGGAAATGCATCTATGTATATATTAATATATTACATATATATTGTTGCTGGTTTGTCAATGGCTAGAGTGAAAATGGAGGAATAAAAGCAAATTCATCAATGCTTTAGTAATAAAAATCATATTTTTTCAGTAGACTTAGTTCACATTGCAAGTTTCACACAAGTTCACCACTATTCATAGAGAAGCACATGGTCAGAGCACACCTGATCGAGTACACTGCAGAGAGGAATGAGTTAGAGTTAGACTCGAGCTCGACCACAACCATGGCGGTGCGGCAGTGCTTCGGCAGATACAACACGATATAGGTTAGTCTAAGGGCTTAGGTAGCATCAGCAGCTCACCGCGATGTTGATGCGCAACTTGGTTGAACCGGGGACGAGGCGGAGCTAGATGGCCGACGGTGATGGCGAGTGCGGTGGCGCGAACTGGTGGCGAGGTCGCCGTTCCGCCGCGACCAGCGCGGTAGAGGTAAAAGAATGGAGCCGATGAGCATCACGGAGTTGAAGGAGAGCTAAAACAATAAACGGGTTCACCAGAGGAGCGCCGAAACAAGCTGGCCACGGCAAGCTGCCCATGGCGGCCATGGTGGCACGGCCACGGCGGCCACTGACGTCGAAGACAATTGCGGCGGCGAAAGGTGGCTACTACGGTTCGAGGAGGACCGCAAGAACTCGGCGGAGCTGGGAGCACGGAAAATTGGTACAAGATAGAACACCGGCGACGAATTTCGCCGTCGAGCAGCGCGGCGGTGCTCCGACAGATAAAAGGGAAAGAGAGGAGCGACGGTGGCTCAAGCTTAAGACGTGCTCACCTACGCCTGGCCACCTACACGGCGCGGCCCTAAGGCCGCCCACCACCGCCCGCTGCAGCAGCGAGCCCCTCCGGCCTACGCCCGCCATAGCAGCGCTCCCCGCTGGCTGCTGTGCGCCCCTCCTTCCGCCGCCCGCTACCCACCTGCGCGCGCGGAGCGCAAGTCCGACCGCCTGCGGTCGCGCTGTGCAACTCCGGCCGCCGCCCGCCGACTCCGCCCGCGCTCCTCAAAGCTACACAAGAGTCACTGCCCACTGTGTTCCATACACGCCAAGTACCTCCCTCTGCCCGTTAGCACGTGCCAACGGCTAAGTACGTAGGCCAAGTGCTACAGACGCGCGTATGGAACACATGTCTGCCACAAAGTACAGACGCGTATAGAGAAGGACGCGTCTGCTACAAGTAGGATTACTCAAGACG